AGAAAAAAGAAAAAGGAAAAGAAAGAAAAGTTAAAACTTCAGTAAAACTAGTGGTATATAACCTTTGTTAGGGTCTTAGGGCCAAAGTTCCTCAACAGTCTTGAAAGTTCCATCAGGCGAGACAAGAAATTCACCAAGATATACCTTCTTTTAAGGGAGTTCACTGATTTTTTGCAAGTCCTCTTCATGTAGCTCCCAATCAAATATCTGCAGGTTCTCCCTCAGCCTCTCGCTGTTGAAGCTCTTCACCACCAAAGTAATCCCTTGCTCAAACCTACAAAATCGATGACTCATGTTTTCATTTGTTGTTCCGTTTTACCATTAAAATTTAGTGATGTTCATGGTGAAGAATCATGGATGCTTAGTTTATGTTGGGTGAGTATGGTCATTAAAGGCCTTATGAATTCTTGTAAAATGAAATAATATAGTGGAACATGAACTCAATGGGAGTGTGGTCCCTCGTAGACCATACTATGCAAACGATGTTTGTAGCTACCAGACTGTGCTTGACGATATAAGTCAGTCGGTTGGAAAAAACGCATGCTACCTGGGCATATAGAACAAACCGAGAATGTGTTCTAATAGGTCATCCTTTGATGAGGTCGGAGCATAAGCTCGGATGAGTGAGCTGAGGGGCAGTGAGACCCTTGTGTGTGATGGTGGCCTAAAGAGACGAGAGCCAAAGCCCTATCCATGTGTCATCACACGACATACATATTGATAGATCGTTCAGAAAAACAAGTAATCCACCTTCAGGATGAAACGTATACATGTGCAAGAGATACCCCTATGCACCATATGAGCTGTTGTCGCATCAAGTCTAGGTGATATCGACTTGTCTCTAGGGGAGGACCTGTAATCTACAGACTGGGATTGCGACTCCTTGGCTCATCGGCCAGATTGTGGTGACCCGCTAATAAACCCCTGCTTGGACTGTGGGTCATGAAAGACTTTGAGCCAATCTGATAAAGCAAGTGTGGTCTGTAGTCTACAGTTGAAGGTGGAGTGCCCCCATGATTGTCTGTAGTCTACAGTTGAGTAGACTTGTGTTATTTTATGGTATGCATAATATTTTGATTAGATTTACTTTATTTAATTTTTATTGATGGAAAATGATTTAGGAAATTAGGATAAGGGTTCATGTACATTCCATAATGTTGATAGCCCATGTATGTAATGGATGGCTCTACATTTCCGAACACGAAGTTCAGACATTGAGACTGAAACTAGAGAAGGACGGAAGTAGAATCAAGGGTGTGAACTCGCAAGCACAACCAATTGCTAGCATAGTCAAGCCCCTAACCTTTCTCCATGAAAGTAGGGAGCCTTAGATGATTTTCAGCACCCCACATGTCACCCAAGATCAATGGTTCATATTCAATCTGACAAGAAGAGGCAAGCCAAAAAAAATCCTAATAAACCATAATCTTGTTTTAAGCGTATAGAACATGGATTGTCTCTACCATAAAATCTCTATACCTTATCTCTTGTACCTAATTCTCATCTTTTTCTCTCATATTCCACAAAGGAGCACACCTCTCTCATGAAAGCCCAAAAAGGGGGTACGTCCCACTCTCACATCTTTGAGATCTCTCTCTCCCACATTGTAAAAAGGGCTAAGCTATGGGGTTATTCTATCTCCTATCTCTCAACTATGGAATTATGACTAAAGGTTTTAGGGTATAGCAAAAAAGAGAATCCAAATCTCTCAAACTAAGTTGCTAAGAGAATTCACCTAGGGTTTGAGTTTGTAATTAAAAGGGGTTCATGTTCTATTAGTATGGCTTGGCCTAAACTTGTTTTCCAGGTTGAGATTGAAGGTTGATCATTGTTCCTGCGCCATCGGATGGTGGTGACTCGGTGTGGGGTGTAATAAGCCCGGTTGAAGTAATCTCCGACATTCTTCACTTTTATTAGTTGCAATCTTATATTTTTATTTTCAAGCATAATGCATAATTATTTCAATGGTATCAAGTTTTAAGATTTATGTTTTATTGTTATGTTGATTTTATTTTAAAACATGTATATGACCACTTGTAAGTGATCTTTTGCTAAAACAAAAGATATAAATAATAATAATAATTTTATGATTCCCCGATAAAAGATTACATTAACCTTTCTTTCGGTCTGAGCCAACCTAATATGGAGATCGAGATTGAAAGGGAAAGAGAGCTTACTCGAGCTACAGTCTTTCCTCTGGGCTGCGCTATCTCTTTAATAACTTCACATCCCAAAACTGCCGAGGCACCCGAGGTGTTTGGCTGTCCTCCCAATGGAGAATATGCACTATGGATCCCCTTTGCATCACAAAACGCTCTAAGCTTCCTCTGTTGCCAAAGGGGGTGCATTTCCACCTCATAAATTGACATTTTCCAAGTTACAATATTTTTTCTAATTCTATAACAAATAAAGTAATAATTTAGAGTTCATTTGCTCTAAACGGCTAAACCAAATACTTAAAACCAGTACGCAATTGGAGATACGGGTATTGTGGTAACGGAAGAGCCGTTCAAAGATTGAAAGTTTCAACCTCTTTCATCCCAACATTTTCTTGGGAAATTTATCAAAATAGCCATAGGAGATGAACTTAACATTTTTCATATGTTTTTTGATTTAATTTCAAAATACCTTTAAAATGACGCATGATCACTACCAACTAGTGGCTAATGGGTAAAATATTGAATGGTTCATCTTTTTGTGGACACTTTGATAACTTTCTCTAGTTTCTTTCTTTGTAGCTGTCCTCCTCGAGAGATCTAATCTAACTTGTTGCCTGCAATACTCATAGGATGCAAAACACGAATATATAATGATATGCTTAAAATTTTATGCAAAACCAAGAGGAAAAAGCTAATTAAAGCTGGAAAAGTAGAACAAGAAAAGAGAGTGAAAGATTATGCTGTCTCCTAACGCTTGCAAGGGACCTAAAACCCCTTTACAAATCTCCAAATTTTGGATTGAAAAGATGTTATGACATGCAACTCAAGTGATTGAAATGAAGAGCTCCTTTCTGCTAGATGATGGAGTAGAACGAACTGCACGAGGGATTAGTTATCAGCAAGTCTGAATGAAGTACAGGTCAAGAACTTGGATTGACTAATTTGGGTTTTACATCTGCCAAACAGAATTCGCAGAAGTATTTATGGTCTTTTCCATGTGCTGATTAAGAAAGTGAACAGAGATAAGATAATTAGAGAGAGAGATAAAGCGATAGAAAGAGAAAGAGAGACTCCCTGATGAGTGGGAAAGCTACCCCGCGTGCCCAAGATTTGCATGGTGAGGCGCCATTGATGAGCAACTGCTCAGGCTTGGCTCCACCATGGAAGTAGAGTTGCTGAGGATGCGAGGTGGATTTGCCTAATTTTTTTTCACGGAAAGATTAACTATGTTTTCATTGCTGGACAAGGGGAAACCTAGAAAAAAAAAGAAAACAGGGCCAAGGGCGTGCTCCTAATATTGTGCATATTTGACACCAAATGGTAATAGACCTCTCTCAATTTGGTCTATACGTCATTTTCTTTATATTTTAAATTCATTGAAAGAAAAAGTTTATATAAGGATGCTACCTTATAATGTAGAACTACAGATGCCTCACAAAAATCCATCGGGAAAGGTAGTTTTAATGTTAAAAAAGCCTTTGATTGATCATCTTGACATCGAAATATATGACTATCGAAAAAGCCTTTCATATGTTTATAGATCTACTTGATTTT